GGCGGCGGCGACAGTTGGCCACGGTTCGCCGCCGCGACGATGGTTGCTGGCGGTAGGTGGGTGGGGGTGGTGGCTTGGGTGACCTGCAATTTGTTTTGAATTTAAGGGTAATTTTGTCCAAAAAGTTAATTAATTGGGGTGAAATAGTAAAAACCACATTTATGTAAATAAATTTAAAAATAAGGGCATTATTGTCCTAAAATTTTATTAATAAGGGATAGAATTGTAACAAAAAAAGATTACCCTAGTAATCTTAGAATACCTAAGAAAATGGAGGTAATTAGATTACCTCCAATATTACCAATAGTAACTACTATGGTATTTGAAGATTACTGAAATCTTATATTACCTGACAATCAAACATGGTAATCAAGTAATATAAGATGACATAACTCCAGTAATCCCACGTTACCCCCAACCAAACTGCTCCTTACAGTTATATATCTTTAAAGAGTACATCACATATTCCCACCCAAGCTTTGATGAAATCCCAAGTTGATTACCTTAGTTACATTTATTCCAGAATCTCACCCTTAAAATAAAATTGTTAGCAATTTTTAAGGTATAGAGAGTGCAATTACCATAATACCATTAACCCCAAATAATAAATTACATTTTAACCCTTAAATTAGTATAATTATAACTTACCATTTTATTTTCAAATTATCTCAATAACACCCTTGGTCACTGTACATCCTCTCGATATTTGCCTGATCTGGGCTGTTTTCAATGGCGTCAAACCCCCTAGTCACCTTCATCACCTTCCCTGTAGTTTTTTGTCCAAAACCCCTCTGGTTCCCGACTCATTGGCCCCTCAAATTGTCGGCACTGTTAGGTTTTTGCTGTTCTTCGCCGGATTCCAGTGGCGAAAATCCAATTGGACACCACCACTACAACCAACGTTTCCAACTTTATAAAAACCCTATGTCCCCAGCAACCGTTTATTTGCCATTCCTGGGCTGAGAGTTCGTGTTCATCGACCCTTTTTTGGTGAAGTGGTGGATGACAAACGGTGAGCTTTCGTGGCTAAGAAGGTTAGGGGTTTTGTAGGAGAGGATACGAGGAGTCAAGTGGTGGTGGTGTTTGGGGTTGTCGTTGTTCAAAACGGCAAAAACCAATCGCATGTCGCGGCTGCCGTGGTCGACGATCGGCGAGTGATAAGGGGTTGTGAAGAGTAAGGTTTTGTAGAGAGGAGGATGAAGGTTCAAATGGTGGTGACAATGGTGATTTTGGGTGGAAGAATCGCCAGAAAAAGGGCGAAAAACATCGGGAACGCCGTTTGCTAACGTGCGCTGGAGGATTGTTAGAGGCGGCGATCTACTAACATGCGCCGTCCATGCAAAATGACCAATTTACCTCTTTTCCGTTACATCAAACACTTTTCCGTCACTTTAAGGGTGGGAATCTGAAATAAATGTAACCAGGGGTATCAACTTTGAATTTCGTGAAACCTTGGGTGGGAATATGTCGTTTACTCTATCTTTAGAATATGAACTTTGGGGTAAATATTTGAGATGATTACTCGTTCTTATATACGAGAAATGTTAACATATAATACTGCTCATGATTGTAATCAATAATTATCTCAATGTAGGATTTAATTATATTACACATAATTGGTTTAATTGAGAAACTTGTGGTATTTGATTAGATGATTTCATTGAGTCAATTATAACATTGAAGTGGTAGTTTTAAATGATAATTTGTTATTAAATATGATCTTGTTTACTAGTTATATTAGGGGTGGGCAAAATTTTAGGGTAGAACAGGAACCGACGGGTACCCGGGTGTCGATTCTGGTTCCTACCCGAACCGGTCGTAATAGGGTAGGTCCCTGTTCCAAAAAATTGGAACTGATATTGTGTGGTTCCAGCTCCAAAAAATTGGAACCGATACTCTGCGGTTCCGGTTCCAAATCAAAGGAACCAGAACCGGAACCGGAAATCGAGACTATAATATTAAAGAATATGGGTTTTTTTTGATATTTTGCATATGGGGTTTTTTTTTGATATTTTACATATCATATAAATATATAAGAAAATTTTGGTTTTTTTTATCTTAGCATCAAAAGTCTTATTAATTTTCATTAAAAGATCAAATTTTAAAAATATTTTTATTAATATTTAAGTTTCACTAATTACTTAATTAAGAAATTAATATATATTAAGATATTTACGTTAAATAATAGCTTTTAAATATTTATTATCGGTGAAAACGAACAATTAAATACTTATAATCAAGTATCAAACATCAAATAAATATAAACAAATATATTATTAAATGTTTTGCACTTAATTGTTAGGGGTGTAATTGTAATTTTATAAGGGTTTATTTGTCATTTTTTTTAAAATGGGGGGTAATTAATATTTTGTAGGGTACCCGGAACCGGAACCGAAACCTATAACACAGGTTCCGGTTCCGGTTCCAAATCAAAGGAACCGGCCAATTCCGGTTCCTTTGATTTTGGGCGGGTACCCAGACTTGCCCACCCCTAGTTATTTATACATAGTATCAATAAATTGTGATTTTTTTAAATTAAAATTTTGATGGTATTTAACAACTATTCATTTTATTAAAATATATAAATTAGTTGATAATAGTTTATATATACACTCAAATATTCATATGTAGGGGTAGGCAAAATTTTAGGGTAGAATCGGAACCGACAGGTATTCAGGTGTCGATTTCAATTCCTACCCGGAACCGGCCAAATAGGGTAAGTTCCGGTTCCAAAAAATTGGAACCGATATTGTGCGGTTCTGGTTACGGTTCCAAATCAAAGGAACCAGAATCGGAACCGGAAACCAGGACTAAATTGATATAATATTAAAGAATATGAGTTTTTTTTTTTTTTTTTGATATTTTGCATATGGGGGGGTTTGATATTTTACATATCATATAAGTAAGTATATAAGAAAATTTTGGTTTTTTTTTATCTTAATATCAAAAGTCTTATTAATTTTCATTAAAAGATCAGTTTTTAAAAATATTTTTATTAATATTTAAGTTTCACTCATTACTTGATTAAGAAATTAATATACATTAAGATATTTACGTTAAATGATAGTTTTTAAATATTTATTATCGGTGAAAACAAACAATTAAATACTTATAATCAAACATCAAGTACATATAAGCAAATATATTATTTAATGCTTTGCAATTAATTTTTAGGGGTGTAATTATAATTTTATAAGGGTTTATTTGTCATTTTTTTAAAAAGGGGGATAATTGATATTTTTTAGGGTACCTAGAACTGGAACCGGAACCTATAACACAGGTTTCAGTTCCAAGTTTTTAGGAATCGGAACCGCTATAACACAGGTTTCAGTTCCAAGTTTTTAGGAATCGGAACCGACGGTTCCGGTTCCGATTCCAAATCAAAGGAACCGGCCAATTCCGATTCTGATTCCAGTTCTTTTGATTTTGGGCAGGTACCTAGACCCGTCCACCCCTATTCATATGTGTGGACGTTTTGAAGTTGTTTTACGTGTGGATCAAAAGTAAGACAACTAAAGTCAAAATGCAAAATCAAAGACAACTATGTAGTTGTCTTTGATTTTGCATTTTGACTTTACTATTGATTTTTTTAAACATATATTAGGAATATCTTTTTGATTAAATTAAAAAAAAAAATTCAAATATGAGATATAGGTTTGAATTCATAGTACTGATCAACAAAAGGAAAGAAATAAAGCATATTTGATATTCCTAAAGTAAAGAAAAAGTAAAAGAAGCATAAATAAATAAAATTATATTGAAGTAAACCTTTATTATGCTGTTCATGATATAGTAGATTCTTTGCCTAACCAATAAAGGTTTTTGTTTTTTTTTTTTCTTCCATCAGATCTCTCTTAAATTAATGCTTTCAATCATCAAATTTCTTATACATCATTTTATTTTGATTTTTTTATTTAGTAATAATTGTACTATAAAAGCATCATATTTCATTATTTTGTATCTAATTCCATTAAATATTCTTAAATAATAATTATATTCTATAAAGATGGCTTTTGCTGAAAGGTTAACAAATAAGAAATAACCGCTTGGCTCACCTACCAAAGAGGGTTGCATACTAATAAATAATCAACAAATTAGACTAACCTACCCACAAATATCGCTTTTAATTATATTCTGGGAATATTCAGCTGCACAACACAAACAAACAGCTGATGCATGCAGTGGAACCGTTGATTATTTGAGAACTTATTATTGTCATCACACACGTCATCGTTACCTGCAATCCAACGGTACTCCATGAACCCTCTTATCTTACTCTGTCACACCTCTCCATATTCCAGCTTTCCAGGTGAACACGTGACTAGTGTACTTACTAACACGTGTCTCACCTAGATATTTTTAAATTATATTACTACAATTACATTTATAACCCTACTTTTCAACAAGAATATGAAAAAATCTTTTTGGTTGCGAATTACAACCCTCGATTTAAACAATTCAAAATCTTTAATACTTCAGAAAATTTGAAGGCAATTTAATATAAATAGTGCCCTCATGAAGCATAATCCTCTAACAAACAATTAGCTCGTCAATGATTTAATGAATTACGATCAAACCTTTTATTATAAATCTCATTTGTATTTATTTAATTTTTTATGATCAATTTAAAAAATGAGTGTTTTTACATGAAAAATTATCATTGGGATCAATATTTTAAGCATATAGTAATTTGAGATTTCTAAAATAAATATTTATATATTAAAGTAATTGTATATATTTAGAATTATTATTTTAAAAAAACACAAAAAAATTTTGTTTTATCAATAAACAAACATAAATTTACAAATCACAAAAACATTTAAACATAAAAGTTATATAAATACGAAATAAAAAGGTTATTTTTGTCATTCATGTAAATTTGAGAAATTCAAACAGTGTATTTTCATAAAATTCTCAATTCCGTAAGATGCTTAGCTGGAATTTTTATCATATTTTATTTTTTAAAAAGGCAGAAAAAAGGGGTAGCTTTTAAGCAAACACACTATACCTATAAGATTCAGAGGTTTATAAACAGTCTTGCTCCAACTGATGGACTGCGTTGGTTAACGGGTGTCCCTCCGCCAGCGTAGTTTAGTATTTTAGTTAACCATTCCGGTGATGCTTGGTGTACTTTGTGTACGTCACAAGCCTTGGATCCTCAATTCAATCTCTCTATTCTCTCACAGCTTATCGCCGGCTCACCAGAGCCGGTTCGTTCATAGTTCTCCGATACCCATACAGTTCGCCGCCGAAGTACATAAGCGTCGACATCATTCAACCGCCTGTACCCTTGGCGGCGGTTTGAACGGTAGCGGCGGCGGCTCGGCCTCTATATGGCACGCCATCCTTCCTTCTGTCCGCGGAGGTGGGGGATGCGGTTGCCGTCGCCGCAGAGATGAGAGGAAGCCGGGGGAAGGGTCGTGGAATGCGGCGTGGGATGAAAGACCGGCGCGGTGGCTCCACCGTGCTGACTCGGCTTGGCTGCTCTTCGGCGTTTGCAGCTGTCTCGCGCCGATTAATTACTGGACTGACACGTGTGCGTATCCGGAGGTGGTTACAGTTGTGGATGAGAAAGGCATAACGGACGGTTGCGATGATTCCAATGAGAAAAGGGGCTGTGAATTGGCGGAGAGAAATGAGAGGTCTGGTGCTGGTTTCAAGGTCATAGGTTAGTTACGCTTTGTAACTAACGAACTTTTTAAATTCATAATGAATCTTACTAATACGAATTATGTTTTGATTAGAATAAATCAATTTTAAATTTGTATGGATTGGTATAGTGTTGTGCGTTATATAAAATTGTTTGTTTTGATTCTGTTTGATAATGAGTCCGAGTGAAGCTAATTATTATTATTATTTATTTAATGTGCGATTGACTTTGTTTGATGCATCGACTTTTTTATTTTGAATTTGAAGTACTGTAATGGTTGAGGTGGGGATAGAATCTAAATTGAGGATGGTATTTTGCAGGGATGCTGGCGGATGGGAGATGCTTATTTAGAGCTTTAGCACATGGTGCTTGCATGAAAAGCGGGGAAGAAGTCTTAGATGAAAATCGTCAAAGAGAACTTGCTGATGAATTAAGAGCTCAGGTATAGAATGTAGTAACTTTTGGTAACAACCGCAGACTTGTATTTAATTTGTTTTTGAACTTTCAAAATTGATGATTGTTCACTTAAGTGGAAAAATGTCTTCTCATCTTGTTAGGTTGTGGATGAGCTTTTAAAGAGGCGCAAAGAAACGGAATGGTGAGCCTTGCTTGTGATATTGAGATTGGAAATGTTTTTCAATTTGTTGATTGATTTAGAACACTATATATTATTGGTTTGTCTTCAATGTGTTTAGGTTTGTTGAAGGAGATTTTGATGCATACATAAAGCAGATTCAACAACCTAATGTATGGGGTGGAGAACCTGAATTGTTGATGGCTTCTCATGTTCTGAAGTATGTTCTGTAACCATCTTTTATTGACACCTTTAAGTCATCAGCCCACTCTTTTACGAGGCATGGCAAACTACAAATAATGAAAATCGACATTTCTCAATTCATATATGTGACCTTTAACTTTTTGAAATCAAATGAACCATAGTTCATGATTGTTTTCTTTCCCTTGCTTGTGGACTTGGAATAGTGGACATTACTGGCATTTCTCCAAAATGAGAAATATTTATCATGAAATCGATACATTTTGTTTGTTGTAGACATCTTTTGATGAAGTTGTCTCACTCCTTGGAGATTATAATTTGCGTTTTATTTCTGATTATTCTTTTTGGATGGGTGGAGTGGAGGGTTGCTAGAGGTTTTTGTGTACTACTTGCAGGAATCTTTGGTCACGATGAGCTGTTCATTTTTAATTGGGAACTTTAATGTTGGTTCATTTGTTGAGTTTGAAGTAGGGAGTCTAGGCTGAGGGAGATAGAGGTGTGCTAGATTAGGAAGGAAGCTTTTTGATTTCACTTGTCTTGTTCATTGGTTAAATTGGGAAGTTTGGTGGCTGTTTCAGTTGTTTCATTGTGCTGATTTCCTCCAATGTGAATTGAGGCAGTTAAACTTTACTATTGGATAATGTCTAAGCACCACATTAGATATTGAACTTGGAGGATGAATTGAAGTGCTTCTATTTTTTTTTAGTGCTTGATTGCTATATTTTCACACACCTTTTCTAATTTGTTGGTGCAGGAAACTGATATCAGTCTTCATGATGGATCAAAGATCAGGTAATCTGGTGAACATAGCAAATTACGGGGAAGAATATCGGAAGGACAAAGAAAATGCTATTAACCTGCTGTTTCATTGGTATGGTCACTATGATCTATTGGAGACTTCCCCAGATGAAAGGTGCTAGAGAGTAAAAGAGTAGAAGGTAGGTATGTTTTGTAGAAAATTTATATGAGTTTATCATTACCTAAAAGGCAGCTTGTATTTTAATAATGGATGCTTTCCAGCCAAACTAGAATCTTTGGTAGGATCAATAAATCTGGTTCCAGCAATGTCAATTCAAGCAATATGCTTCTTAATTTTTTGTATTATTTCTTTCTTTCGTTTTTTTCATGGGAGGGATTTATATTTTATAATGAATTTTCTTTTCTTTCCTCATATTTTCTGGTTTTATTTGAAGCTAAGATTTAGAAGTGGTTTGATTAAGATTTTTTAAATTTTCATAACTGATTGAATACTAGATGACGAAAGAGTTCATATTGGTAAATCTGAAATTTCTTACTTTCCATAAAAAATATTTCTCAAAATTTACGAGTATCTTGTTATCAAATGCTTTCGCAATCTTCTTCATTTGTCTTCCATTCTTTTTCATTTCTACAGTTCTATCCCAGTAATCCCATTTAGGTGATAATGTGAATGAGAAATTTGACAAAATAAGAGCCATAAGAATTCTGAGTTCTGCCATGGCAAAACTCTGTCCCAAACACGTCCGAGGACCAAATCCAAACGGCATGTATAAATGAGGAAACTTGCAGGCACCACTCTCCGTTGGCAAACCTTTCAGGATTAAATTCATTGGCATCCGGCCCCCAATTTTCACGGTCTTGATGCAGTGATACAATTAAGGTCCAAACATAAACCTCTTTAGCCATATCAATTTTGTCGAATCTTATGTCCTTCAATGCCTCCTTTGATATAATCGCAACAGGAGGATACAGACTTGATGTCTCATTTATAACCATGAGTAACACTACGCTGACAAATGTCTCTCACTACTTTCTCTCACAAACACCCGATGTGACACTGAGTTGGCTTTATACGTCAAATCACGAACTTTGACTAAATATAAACGACTGTTACTTAAGGAGGAATGGTCGTTCCATCATAAAGAACAGTCGTTCCCATAAGGAATGACTGTGTTCCATATGGAACCCCCATTCTATAAGAAGGAATGGGGGTTCCATAAGCCCATTTGGAATGGCTGTTCCTCAACCAAGAATGACCATTCCTCATCCGAGGAACAACCGTTCTTATTTCATAACGGTCGTTCTTTATAGAGGAATAATCGTTGTTTAGGTGTAGTCAGAATCATTTGGCGACCATTCTAGTGGGAGCTGCCAACTCAGTGCCAGGTGTTCAGTTTGTAAGAAAAATTAGTAAGAGACGTTTGTCAGACTAGTATTATTGTTTAACCATTGTCAGCTGCATATTTAAATAGGAGGATTAGAATAAGTGAAATGGTATTGTGTCGGGAGAGGTACCTTATTCTAAGGCCTATCTTTACATCGAAAGAAAGTTGGTCCAAAAACACAATTTTCTTTGGTATAATTAACACAGAAAACATTTTAAGTTTATTGTGTTGAAAAGAAAATTGCTCATTAGCAATCCCCCTTGGGTGGGAATGGAAAATGAAGAAAGGTTTGGGGGCCCAAAAAAGAATCCAAAAGATTAGCAAATCCCACATTGGTTGGGAATGAAAATGGAGAAAGTTTTGAGACCTACATAAAAGAAGCCAAACCATGGATTTATGCATCCTGAACATTATCTCCATTAAACCCCTCTTATATATGGTTCTTCTATTGAGGACCCTTGGTTTAAAAGTTTTGTTGTATTTCTTTTTTATTTTGGGTAATTGTTTTTGTGCCCATATAGTTTGGGTATTTGTAGTGTTACCCAATAGTTTGTAATATTATTCAAAAGATAGTGGAGTTTCTTTTGCAATGCCTGAGGACGTAGGTAACAATACTGAATCTTGTTAATTTCTGGGATTATTTATTTTTACATTTATTTTGGTCATTTATTTCTGTTTTAGTAGTGTTATTATTATATTTCAGTAACTAATGTTAAAGTTTGAGTTTTTGTAACATAATAGGTGGTATCAGAGCCAGGTTTAGGGCAATGAGTAGTTATTTATATGATTATATGCAAGTCTAGAGAAATTCTGTCAATAAGACGATAAATGTCTAAGGAGACTAGGTTTTAAGTGGGACCATTTGTGACCCTTCCAGTATTTCCTGGGAATTTTTCTGGTGCATATTGAATCATTTTTAGCACTAACTATTATCTTAGGCTACTGTTAATATTTGGTTAGCTATTGAATATAATCAATTGAGTAAGACACAAATGACATCATCGTTTACATAAGTAAAAACAATGATAGTTACAAATTCAAATATTGATGTTGAAGAATTTGATGGTCAAAATAACTTTGGCTTATGGCAATGTGAGGTAATGGATATCTTGTGTCAACAAGATCTAGATATAGTTCTAGAGGAGAAAAGACTAGAAGATATCGATGAGAAAGACTGTATGAGGTTGAATGTAATAGCTTGTGGGATGATTTGCTCATGTTTTTGTAGAGAGCAGACGTATCCATTCATGAAAGAGAAGTCTGCTAATAAGTTATGGAAGACATTGAAAAACAAATACATGAAGAGTAATGAGAATCGACTCTATTTGATAAAAATATTGTTTCGTCTTTAGTTGTAACCATGTACGAGTATTAGTAGCCATATTGATACATTTAACTAATTGATTGCTGATTTGTTAAATTTGGATGGAACGATTTCAAATCCAACATTTATTTACCGTAGCTTATTCCTTCTCTCTTTCCTCATAAAACTGCGTTGTTGATTGGATCTCTTCCAGATGAATTAGATAATGTTAGTATTACACTTCTTTATGGGAAAGAAAAATTGTCTTTTGAAAAAGTCTGTTTTGCTTTGTCTAATCATGAAATTCGGAAAAATGATTAGAATGAGAATAGAAATGAGTCAGTAGAGGCAATTACAAAAAAGATGGCGTAGTTAGAGTCGTAAGAAGGAGAAAAGGGGAAGATCTTGTTCGAAGGGAAAACTTAACAGGGATGAATATGCCTTTTGTCATGAAAAAAGACATTGGAAGAAAGATTGTCTGAAGCTGCAAAAGAAGCTTCACTATCTTCTAAAGAATATTACAAACTTTTTGGCGCTGCAAATACCCAATGGGCACAGAAACAATTACCCAAAATAAAGGAGAAATACAACAAAACTTTTAAATTAAGGGTCCTTAAGTAAAGAACCCTATATAAGAGGGGGGGGGGGGGGTAATGGAAATACTGTTTGGGATGCATAAAATTATGGCTTGCCTTCTTTTATATAGGCCTCAAAACTTTCTCCATTTTTATTCTTAACCAATGCGGGGTTTGCTAATCTTGACTTCTTTTATATAGGCCATAAACCTTTCTCCATTTTTCATTCACACCTGATATGGGATTACTGATGAGCGATTTTTTTCCAACAAATCTCCACCTTGGTAAATTAGCAAACCTTCAAAGTGCTTTTATTCTTCTGACAAAGTTTGCAACTCTTTTAAATGTGCCAAATGGCGCAGTCAAATCTGTAGATATGTTAACGAAAGTAGTGGCACTAGAGCTGGTCCCAAATGGTACCAGTCGCTCATGGGCTTGGGACCGGTCCTAGGCCCATGAGAAATATGAGGACTCGGACCGGTCCCTGGGACTGGTCCTATGGGCCTGGATAATTTCTTTTCCCCCCTGTTTTTTTTTTTTATATATATTTTAGGGGCGAAATGAAATTTTATAGAGGGTATTTAATATTTTTTAAGGGTAGATTAGTAAGTTTCTAAAAATTTAATTAATTTTAAAAAATAATAAAATAATAAATAAATTAATAGTTAATTTTAATTTTTAACATAAATTCACATTTCATACATTCACGCTTCACAAATAAACAATTAAATAATTTTTTATTAAATTATTTATTTTCATCGTCAACAATATTTACATCATTCAAATCTGTATTCCTAAAGAGTTTGAGTAGTTCGGGATCTTCAGGGTGCTGTTGTAGTCTTCTTTTTGCATGAGTCCAATCCTGTAAACACGTTATCACTTCAACCATCTCATCAGTTAAAGAACATCTTCTGTCTTCAACAATTTGACCACTCGTTGAAAATGTTGACTCGGATGCAATTGTAGAAACTGGCACAGATAAAATGTCATGTGCCATTTGGGCTATAATGGGGAATCGACTTTCATGTTGGTTCCACCACTGAAGAATATCCATATTATGTTGCTCCTTCATCATCATAAAGGACAGGTCCACTTATAGGTAACAATTCAGCTCATTTGGTCCATGTATGTATGAGCTGAATCACTATCTTCAACAATCCGACCACTCGTTGAAAATGTTAACTTGGATGTAATTGTAGAAACTGGCACAGATAAAATGTCACGTGCCATTTGGGCTACAATGGGGAGTCGACTTTCATGTTGGTTCCACCACTGAAGAATATCCATATCATGTTGCTCCTTCATCGTCATAAAGGACAGGTCCACTTGTAGGTAGCGATTCAACTCATTTGGTCCATGTATGTATGAGCTGGAGGCTGGAGCTGCTACTTCCGCCACGTTCCACATACGTCCACTTGCTCACTCCTTGACGGAGGGTTGCATGAAGGTCCGGATCCTCTCTCCTGAACGTTCCACTTCCACTTCCATTGTACTTGTTCTCATATAAAGAAAAAAGTCTATTTAATTTTTGTTTAAAGTTAGTTAAATAAGACGTATAATCATGTCCTAAATGCTGGCCTATCTCAGTAATTATATAGTTAACTACTTGTAATTTAAACCTAGGATCTAGAACAATGCCTAATCCATATAAGAATGGAATATCTAACCAATATCTCTCATATTTTTCTTCCATCTTTAAAACTATTTCCCTTAAATCATTATTATATCTATATTGAGCAAAAATTTTAGCAATTTGAAGTAAAATATTTAACACTAAATTAGTAGTCGGATAATAAATACCACTTAATGTATTAGTAACATCATAACAATTTTGAAGAAATTGATAAAAAAGTTCACAAACCGCCCAATCATCATAGCTGACAACTTCTTCTGGATAGTGCTTCCGGTTGACGAAATCTGTAATTTGTTTTGCGGTTGACAAAGCTTTTTCCAACATCAAGTAGGTGGAGTTCCAACGGATAGGCATGTCCGTACATAACTTCAAAGGTTGAACTAGTGGGTCCTCTTGCTTACAATATTTGACGTACTTCTGCCATCTTTTATTGCTACCGCCGACGA